TAGATAGATAGATAGATAGATAGATAGATAGATAGATAGATAGATAGATAGATAGATAGATAAGGGGAAGGTGGCCGATTCCTCCTGAGGGCTGTGGGTCATGGGTGCAGAGCTACCCTTGGGCTCTCCTGCCTGTCAGCACTTTGCTCTGGGGCAGCAGGGTAATGCCCAAGAGCTCAGGTGGCCTGCGTGCCTGAAAGAGAGGGTGGCAAGACTAAGCTGGAGAGAGGCCTGTCGGACCGCCCCTCCCAGCCCAGCCCCAGATCTGAGCCCTGAGCTGCTTACACTCGGGACAGCACTCTCCGCTGAGCGGCTATGCCACAGTCCCCCCAGCTAAGGGCAGCGCCATCAGCCAGTGGGTGGAGGGGCTTGACTTATACCCCTCGGCTAAGCCGTGCCCTCAAGATGAATGCCTGGCCCAGCACACTGAAGGGAGAAGCTTTGGCACTGTCCCGGCAGACAAAGGTTTAAGGCAAATCTGTTGCAGAGCCACTTAACAATTTCCAAAATAGTAGCAAGATGTTTCCATAAAACCAAACTGGCTGCCAGGGAAGAAAAGCACAGACTACATTGTCAAACTTGTTCCCTTAATTAGGACCAGATCCCGCTGGCTGGGGTTTATTTCCAGAAGTCGGCATCCCAGAAAACCAGAAACAGCTTGACATGCTGCGGCGTCGCTAATGCTTCTCCAATCTGAATTCCTAATTGGGTTTAAAAAAAAAAAAAGCAAGCAACCAGGAATTTTCATGCTGGTTTTGATTCGGGATTCAAAACAGAACCTGCAGCGTACATTCCTGCATTGTTCTGTGCGTAAACCAGTTCACAGTCCTCCAGACCCCTCAGAGGAGAGAAGCAAGCCGCGGCGGGAATCCTCAACCCAGTAGCCCAGAGAGGCTTTTCTTATTCTGAGACTCGAACACGCCCCGTGTTCTCGCCAAGATGCTTTTAAACACTCTAATCTATTTGCTCTGTCGAGGGAGAGCGGGGCTCGGAGGCGCTGGAACAGCACCTGCTCCTTCCCCTGAGGACGAGATGGTGTTTTCCTGCTTTTCTTTGTTAGTGTAGCACAAAGATCGGCGGGCCCTCCCCCGCCTCCCCTGAATGCTAAAAGCAAGCTGAGCCCGTTCTGCCGGGCGGCGCCCCTCCTTACCTGCGCAGCCGGCCCTCCAGTGCTTCCATCCGCTGTGCGGTGTTCGCCTTCACAGCTGCTTCTGCAAGACAAAACCCAACATGAGCACAACCATCGCCCAAACAAAGGGCTGCGGTCAAGGCTCTAGTAAGGCATGTCGTGTTTGGAAAGCCCTCAAGACCATCCAGGTGCTGCTGGAGCCCTGCGCTGGAGGGCTGCAGAGGCTCAACTGTCTCTGCAGCTCTGACCTGCTGCTTTCGCAGGTGGCTCAAGGCCAGCCCATCACCCGGTGTGGCCGCAGCTTCCTTCAAGACAGACAGCCTCGTGAATGAAGATGGGTTTGCACGCGCATCTGTAAATAACCTGGGCTGCGGACTAAGACTTTGCCAAACAAATTAGATACTCAATGCTGGACTCCCCATTGTTCCTTAGGTGTGAAAGCCCCTCCGGAGGGACACTGTGTTTTGAGGGTGTGGCCTCCAGCCATCAGAGGTGAGTCCCGGCCAGCTCTGAAGTCTAGCTGCTTCCATTCCACATTTCTTTCTCCTGACCCACCAAGGTGTGAAGATTCTGCACACTCACGCTGCTACCGCATATGTGCGAACAGGAGGATGTTAACGAAGGTGGGCCTTGGCGGAAGTTATCTTCTGCCATGGCCTTCCCTTCCTGCTCAGCTGGGATCACTGTAGACAGAGCCGCCCACTGGCCTTGACTGTAAACAGAACCGCCCCACTAGCCGGGCCTGGGGAACCATGATAGGGCTTTCTCTCTGAAACCATGAGTCAAAATAAAATTGTCTGATCTATTTTAATCCAAAGGGAGGTGGCTCTGAGCAAAGCAAGGATGAATATGATCAAAATACACTGAGATTCTCAAAAGGTTGAATGAAACTATCATATAAACACATGAAAAAAAAAAAAAACCCTTCTCTCTGAAGTCGCTTCTGCTTGCAGGGAAGTAGCTGATTTACCCCTCTAGGCTTCTGCAGCCTGGTAGCCTGGTGGCTTTCCCTGGAATGTTCCAGCAGCTTCCTATGCTTTCCGGCCGGCCTGGACGCTGACACTCAGACAGAACACGGCTGGGATAAGAGTTTGCTGACCCTGAGCGCCCCCCACACTGAGCCAGGCAGTCTAAGAGCACACGCACTGAGTCAGCTCACAACCCTCAGAACAGGCCAGAACGTGGCATGGGATTTAGACGCTTAACTTCCAAAACAATATATCCATGGACAGCATCTGAGGACGGCCATCATCTCTCCTCACACCCCTGCTCCCCCTGCTTCTCCACCCAGAGTCTACCAAAGAGGGGCCTGTGAGGAGCTGGTGAGGGAGGGTGCTCAGGAGATACCGAGGGAACCAGCAGTGGGACCTCAGGCTCTTCACAGGGGAGGGCGTGAAACAGTACTTCCCTGCTTGCCAACAGAACCCGGCATCCAGATTACATTGCTATTAGAACGAAACTCAAATAATTAGTCTAATAATCCAAATTAGGTGGAAACTAGTAATTGAATACGTTAAATTCGTGAAAATATTTAGCAGAGTGAACACCACAGCATAGGTCAGTGCTACAGGTGTTTGACACGGGTCCCATTTCATGCCAGGCACTGTAGTGTGAGTGTGTGTGTGTGTGTGTGTGTGTGTGTGTGTGTGTGTGTGTGCACGTGTGTGTGTTTAGACATCAGGTGTCTTCCTCAGCGGCTCTCCATCTTACCCTTGGGGACAGGGTCTTCCCGTGAGCCCGGAGCTCACTGATTTGGATGGCCTGGATTCAGCCAGCCTCTGCACTCACACCTTTCCAGGGCTAGGAACATAAGCGTGTGTCACACACCAAGCTTGTATGGTGCTGGGCTGAGCTCAGCTCTTCCTGTGTTCCCGGCAGCTCTTTACCCACTGAGCCACTTAGCATCACGCGAGCCAGGGGGCCAAGGCTAACGGTGGCTTTCTTTCCTGTAGCCAACAAGTGAGAACGGTTCCTTTCTTTCCTTTTAACGCAGGTCTCATTGCGCAGATGCCGGGCGGGCCTCAAGCTCACAGAGATCCTCCTGCCTCTGCCTCCTTAGGGATTAGAGACATATGCCACTCTGCCTAGCTGTTATGACATCTTCTAAAAATATATTTTTATTTTATGTGTATGTTTGCTGTGTATACATATGTGTACCACGTCCATGCCAGTACATTTTTTTGAAAGCTGGAAGACCTTTTCTTCGGATGCAGCCACACACACACAATGACAGAGGTGACGTTAGGCCTACTTTTACAAAAACAAGTCATCAGATTTCAAAGATCGACACTCAATCACCAATTTAGCCAAAATTAACTAGTATTTAAAAAAAAAGAAAATTCAGAGGGAAGATGGGGGGAGGGGACTGGAACCCTGACAAATTTCGAATATCCAAGGCACGAGGAACCCTCCGGGTTTGCTTGGGAAATTAAACCATGCACAAAAAAGTAGTGTGGACCCAGCAACTCAAAAAGCCCCAGGGATGGCAGGAACTGAGAGAGACAATCTTACAGCCATTCAGTCTCGGCAAATGAAACGGAACAAGGCTGCACCAAGAGTCCCTTCTACAAAGCCATTCTGTATGCATCTAATTTCACACCCAAGAGCCATGCCCCAGCCTCAGCTTTTTACTGCTCATGTCCATCTTGGGTCACTCTTCCAGGCTAAGCGAACCGGGCCTGCGGTTTCATGGATGTTCAAGGGCACCTTCATGCCCATTTAGCCAGGTTGAATGCTGCGGTGGTATCGAAGGCTCTGGCTGGACAGCTCCCTGGAGCTGGGAGATGCCACCCTCCCTGACTGCTACATGCTGCTTCCAGAGTCTCCAGAGCCGGAAGCAAATGAGCCCAACACCACCAAAGAGGGCCACTGAGCCCTGCAAGGCCGAGGGCGGCTCGTGCGTGGGCCGCTAATGACCTCTTTTTCTCTGCCGCCGGCATTGCAGAGAGAAAGGAAACAACTGGATGTGGGCCCCAAAGGAATGAAGACACATTAGCAGAATTGGCTTCTCTGTGGGGTTCCGGCTAACACACCTGCCCCCCACCCCAGCCTGTGTCAGCACCAAGGACACCACATCAGCCTGGGCTCGAGGAATCAGGCTGCTCAGAACTGGCCAAGGTGCAGAGGCTAGATACCTGAGCCATCGATCAGCTGCGGCCATCAACATGGAAGCTACAAGCTCCGCAGAAGCTCGTACATAAGGTAGAAGAATATAAAAGACAGGAGGAGACCGCAAGGTACCGAACCTGCACACGGCACAGCAGCTCACAGTGTCTACTGTGACCTGCGCAGCACACACACAAGATCAAGCCAGACAACCTTCCAGTGTGGACAGGGAAGCCTTGGCGGCCCCACCCACCCTGGGGGAGCTGGGGCAAGTTGACTGCTGAGGGAGGAAGAGATGGGTCTCCACCCTCTGGGGATGCGGCCACTAACCACGGCTAGGCTGCTTATGCTAGACTGGACGGCCACATATTCATCCGTGAAAGAGACCATCACGGCACCAAAGGGGTCTGAAGGGATGTCAGGGAGGGCGGCTATGGTCCTTGTACATTGTAGAAGTGTATAGAATGTTCACAGAATTTTTTTTAATGCTGCTACAAAAGAAAAGAAAGCAAAGCAAGCTAGTGACGGGAGCATCACACAGTGACCGCAAAGGCAAAAGCGAGCCTCCAAGGGAGCCACTCCAGGCAGCAGTCCTTCCGGCGTCCTCAGGGAGAAAGGGGGGCCTGTGCCCTACCTCCAAGGGGGATGAAAAACTTGGAGGAAGGGACCAAGCTGAGCAAGAGGTCTTGGAGGGTTTTCCTGGTGCGTGAGTGGGCATGGGCAATTAGGAACTGCCATTGCGCATGCACTGAGATGTGCTTCCTCCAACAGAGGGCGTGGCCAGCTCACTCTGCCTTCCCCGCTTGCACTGGGGTTACACCGTGGAGCATGTGACCCCACACACAAGGACCGTGGGGTCCCTAGAAGACTTGGTCCATCTGGCAGGACAGGCTCTGTGTGCCCTTTGCGGCCGTCACAGCCATCCGTGGAAGCGTGGGGAAGGCTGGATTCACCCTTGCAGGTTTCTCTGAGCCCATGAGAGGCGCCCTGCATATGACCTCGCACTGTAAGCAGCACCAAAGACCAGCTGAGGAAGACATCCTCAGGGTAGGCTGGGGCCACGTTACCCTGGCACCTTCCTGTGGGAAGGAAGAGCAACAAACGCTCACGTCAGCTTCCAACCTACCCTGTGGGATGGCGGAGGCTGAGCGCTGACATGCTAGATGGTCCCTGAGCCCAGTGTGCACTTCGGGACAGCGCTGGCTTTCGGGTCTCACAGCTGGGCGGAAGGGGAGCCGGCAGGAAGGAGAGCAGCCTCCGGAGGTCAGGGAGCAGCGGTGAGCAGTGATTAAGCCGAGCTCCACCTGCTCACGTGACATGGTGATCCCACTCTCCCAGACACACCAGCCTCCTACGTGCCAGCCCCGATGCCCTTCAGGCACACAGCCTGATGCCAGCAGGGGTCAACGGGCAAACCAAAGCCAAGTGCTCAGACTGCAGAACAGGTCAGGAAGCGCTGAGGCTCCCTCAGCAGTGATCAGCCTAATTCCCAGGCCCACGCTTGGCCTCGCCAAACGTTCTCCAGACGGGCCACCATCGCTGCTGACAGCAGCAGCTTCCTGCACTGCTTCCTGCTTCCTAGAGCATTTCAAAGGAGAGTAGCTGTGACCTGGAGACTAAATCCAGTATTTCAAGAGTCGCCGACATGCTGATGTGTTTACCTGGCCATGCAGCCTATGTCTGGGAACATGCACGCTCCCATCTCCCTGCTCTGCCAGCCACATGCATGCACACATGACCGCGTGCATGCATGCTCATGTGCTTGCGCATGGAAGCACACGCTTGTGCACGCATAGGTGCTTGTACACTTGTAAGTTCATGCTCATGTGTACACGTGTGCTCCTGAGTGTGCAGGCATGTGCACACAGATAGAATTCTCTTCATGCTCTTTTGACAGACAGATGGAGGAATGCAATCCGCACCTTTCTTTTGAAATGGAAAACTGTCTTGAAATGTCTGCTGGGGAAAACCAAATCC